ACACACGCACGCACACACACACTCACACACACACACACAGTGAGATAGCAAAATAGCCTGGAAGTGATATGATATACATTTCAAGAGATAGGAGAGGGCATGTTTACTTGGGGAAGTGAAGGGTCTTCTTACCATGTTTAATACCTAAACACCACACCCACTCCCTGATTTAACTCCACAGCACCTACCAGACTTGCCCATGTAAACATTTGAGCTTTCTATCACAATACAGGGCTGACTTCCTCAGTTGCCAAGTGAGAAATCTGAGATGGAGGAAGGTTGAGGGACTTGCTCAAGGTTTCATATCAAATTTAGCATTTCACGCCTTTTAGCCTTGCCACATGGCAAAGACATACTAAGCCTATTATATTTTTCCTAGAGAAATAGCTTTCAGGGAGGATAGTTTGAAAAATAAAAATAAACACATGCGGGTTGTTAACTCTATGCTACATTACTAGGTCATTCATTTCTACTGGAATTTCCTGATGTCAAAGGAAACTCACAGTCAAGGGAGGACAAAGGAGAAAGAGGACAGTGTACTGGTCCCTCCAGGTAGCAGCTGCCAGCCAGGGAGCAACTGGTGCGCCAGTTAGGCTGTGTTTAACTCTTTCCCCTGAAAGCCTGCTGCTACAGACCCACCAGACAAGTGTGTGAAGCGGGAAGTGTGGGTCTGAAAAAAGGAGAACAAACTTTGTGTCAGCAGGCCTGCATTACAATTCTGCCTCTTTCATCAATAGAACACCTTGAATAGATTTCTCCTCCATATATGGCTTTATTATCCTGCCAGCAAAATGGGAGTGAGAGTGTCTGTTTTGTGGTGGTGCAGTGGGGGAATGCACAAGGCATTGCACATATATAACAATTAACTAGAGGCCTGACAGATGGCCTCCTGCTCTTAGCTTGTAGCCCCCAAACCTGAGGTGGTTTGGATAGCACAGCTCACAGAGAGACTGTAGAAGCTATTGGTCAGTTTTCTTGTCTCTGGACAGGTGGCCACATATACTTCATGGCTATTCTGTGACAAAAGAGAATGTGGGCTGATAATGTATCAGTGGGTAAAAGTCACTGCTCAGAGTTCCCTGAGTGCCCCCACACCCTTCAGCATCTGTAGACACAGAAAAGAAAGAGGTGATATCTGGGATAGCAGAATTGCCCACTAGACGGCTGACAGCTGTACTCGTGGGTCAGTGTTTGAGTAATGTTCAGAGAGAACCATCTGCCACCAAAGTCTTATCATCGTCACCTTGTCTTCAAGAGATGACAAGCCTCAACTTCATAAAGTGTGAAACCTTTGCAACAATTCCTGGAGGGGTCAGGAAGACAGTGGTTCTTGGGCTCTTTGCAAATTTGCTCTCAGTTATAAACATATAACCCTTGTGTTTGATTAAATAGCCTTTTTTATATTTCCCAAATAAGACTTTGAGACTCTGTGGGGATGTGTGGGCCTTTCATTTCTGGAACAAAACTCAGTTTAGTTTTCACAGAGACTAATCCTAGACATATTTGCTTTAGCTCCATCTTGTTTGTTTCAGTATTTTATCTGTTGTTTTCATATTCTTCTAGAAAAGAGTTCCAATTAGCTTGGGGGAAAAAAAACTCAGAGAGGCCTCCCTGGTGGTGCAAGGGTTATAGTCTCAGCACTATCAAGCTATCTGCAGCCACTGAGCTCAATCCCCAGCCAGGGAGCTGGCCCATATGGCACAGCATACTTCTCCTCCCTCACCCACTCTCCCCTCAGAACAGTGTAGATCTGCCTGTTCTGCTCTGCACTCTGTCTCTGGTGAATCCTCTCAGCCCTCTCCCCCACCTCTGGCTTGCACCCCAGTTCTTGTATGCATAAATAAATAAAAATAAATCTTAAAAAAACCTGCAAAGATTATTCACCAGCAGGCTACCTGGTCCCTAGACCAGGAATCAATATCAAGCACATTCTTTTGACATCTACCCAGGGTAAACTTGACTTTACAGTGTCCTTGGGTGGCCTGGGAACCCGAATGACTGTCACAGTCTTGCTGCTCTACAGGTGATTTCCAGTCTCTTGTGCAGAAACTCCCAAAACTGCAGAATCTGTCACCACCACCCATAGGGTGGTGTTCACCCTAGAGCACTCCAGATGTCATGAAGACATACTGTTGCATCTTTTGGCAGGTGGATGAATTTTTCTTATTATGTTTTCAAAGTAAATGGGTCTATTCAGAGTGCATAAGTTAACACATGGAATAAGGTTGGCTTCCATCTTTCTCACTTTTGGAGTAAAAACTCCTATTATAAGCCCTGATGTGGTCTGAGCCTCTAAATCCAGAAGCTGCTTCCCCTCTAGACTGAACATTTTAACCTGAAATGTTTGGTTTACACTTATGGAGCTCAGCTACTAACAAGGCTGATAGAATCCTGACCAATGCAGAAACTGAGCCTGCCATGGGTATCACAACTGTCAGCCTCTAAAGTGAAAAAATGGACAGGCGGGATGGATCTTCAGCAAGGACTGCTTTTTCCCTGACTGGAAACTTCTCATGTGCTGGAAACTTCTCATATTCTTCCACCTGCCCCTTCAAACCCACTTACCCACTTTCCCCCAGGGAGACTAGAGGAAGTCCCAGGGAAATGTGTGTGATGGTGGGGAGGAGAGTTTGACAAGTCTACAGCAAGAAGGGTCCCAGAGGGAATGCTGAGAGAATAGAAGAAACACAAGTCAATAAGAAGGGAACAGTAGAACTGTTTGGTTCTGTTTCCTGTCAGATAAGAAGGGAGTTATTTGGGTTTGAAGGAGCAACAGTGGGTGGGAGCTTTAAGAGAAATGATTAAAGTTTGGAAGGGCACTGGAGAAAGGGGGTGACAGTGGGAGACAAGTAATTACTTTGAAGACTGGATGGATGGGGCACTGATTCGAGAAATTCAATTCCTCCATGCTTTAGCCAAGGGCTATGTGGCTGAACTGGGTGCTGAGCAGCTCCAAGGGGCAGGGCTGGGCAGGCCCTTGGATGGCTGACCCGCAGATGGGGACAGGGTGGGTGCAGTGGAAAGGACTGCTGAGGAGGACCCTCTCTAGCTGACATCCTACTGATGCCTACTTTTTTTTTGTTTGACAAACTGTGTAGTAGCCCCAATTCCCAGAAACAGCAACTTGCAAGATTCAAGAGAGTATGTGAGGCACAGTGGGAAAGTGTGCCTTGACCAGCCTCATTAGAGGCTCTGTGAGAAATTTTCCATAGGAATAATATCTAGTATAAGGATTCCATTTCAAAGCCTGACTTCCCAAGGCCATGTTGAAGCAGCTTGTTAGGCTTCCAGTGGTGAAAGAGGATGGCATATTTCTTCCATTACCACCCAATCAATCAAGTGTCGGCGGGAGGCAAAACAGTATTTTCCATTTCAAAGATGGCTTATCACAGAGGTTAAAGACTAGACCAATAGTTGTCTAGCAGGAACTCCTGAATGTTCTTTGTTGTGATTTTGGCAAGGAAATCCTTTATAGGATGTTATATTCAATGTTTGCCACGTGTCAATTCTCCAAGTCTTCACCATAGCCCTAAGAGGTAAGCAGGTTTGTCCTTCTATTTCTATATTACTCTCACTGTCAATCTTCATCTGCCAATATATACCTTGTTCCCCAACATTATGGGCATTTCTCTCTGACAATATATGGAACTTCACAATTTACAAGTTCCTGGACTCCCCCAATCTCAGTCCTTGTCTATAAAGTCAGAACCCATAATCTTTCCAGGACTCCTGCAGCACTGAAACTCCTAACAGTCACAGTTGAACAGATATAAGACAGTTTGTTACAATGTTTGAATAGCTTACTTGTAAAAACAATAGATACACATAAAGAGCAAGCAATGTTTTTTCTGTGGCATTTTTCTTGGGGGATGGGTAGAAGTCTATGTAGCATGTTGATTTATAATGATGCATACATTTATCTTATAGTGTAATGCTACTTCAATTAAAAAATAGTGATAAGGCTTTTGATATGCAAGGATGGTTACAGCATTACTAAATGAGAAAAGGAAATTGTATCTCAATATGTTAAAACCTATGTCTAAAAGGCTTTTTTTTCTTTATAAATAGAAGAAACTTAGATACAGACATTCATCCACACATCCAGAGGAAAGACCACATAAAACAGAAGGCGGCCGTCTGCAAGCCAAGGACAGAGACCGCAGAAGAAACAAACCCAGATGATATCTTGGTCTTAAAATTGTGAAAAGATAAATTTCCATTGCTTCAACCACACAGTCTGAGATATTTTGTAATGACAACCCAAGAAAACAGATACTAATGAAGTTCTTACTGGTTTTGCACCCCAAAGGCCATACTGGGTAGGAAGAGGGCAAGCAGGTTTGGGGGAAGATAATTATTCAACAAACAAGGAGGGCTTGCTTGATGTAGTAAGGAGTAAAGACTCAAGATTTAAGGACTTTACATGATGTGCTTAGGGAAACACGGGCTGCCCAGTGCTGTTTTCCCCTGGTGTGGAGGGTGACAGGAGGGCAGTTCTGCTCGGAGAACAGATCCTAAGGAAAGTGTCCCATGGGCCTACACTGTTCACCTTCTATTCTTAGGCCTTTTTGAAGCCAACCTTTCCCACTTGGAAGTGTGATTGACATTTCTGATTTTCTTGTGTGAAATCAAGTCAGATAACTTGTCATATTCCTAGTGATCCATCCAGCACAGGATGAAGGCTCAGGAAAAAAGGACTTCTCTTTTCCTCTGCTCTTTCATAACGAGTAATGCAAGGGTGGGGATGACCAGCATAAGCATGTTATTAGGGTGGAGATTTGATTTCTGAAAAACTTGTAAATCTGTTTCTTGAAACCAGTTTCAGAAGATTCAGAGCAGGAAACTGAAACCAGTTTCCTGTTAATAGCCAACCTTCTGTAAACATGGAATGTATCCTTGCGTTATTTTATCTTTTCTAATGATGTCAGATGCACGTTGCCTTCTCCTATATAAGAGTTGGGTGACGTTCCCTGCATGTACCTGCCTGTAAGAGCTGCAGCTCATCACAATGGTATGTAACTGGCTTTATATGTAATGGCATGGAATATATCCTTGAGTTATTTTATCTTTTCTAATGATGTCAGATGCGGGTTGCCTTCTCCTATATAAGAGTTGGGTGACTTTCCCTGCATGCACCTGCCTGTAAGAACTGCAGCTCATCACAATGGTATGTAACTGGTTTCATACATAATGGCCAGAAAAGAGCACAGGTGTGTGTGTCTATTGGATGCTATATATGTCTATTGGATGCTATGTATGACCTAGTTATGAATCTCCCATAGATTATTTGTAAGTCACTGTGTAGTGTAGGGTAGAAAGAGTCTGGGAGCTCAGGAAAATATTAATGACTTTAGCACTATTTCTAGTCTCTAAAATAAAAGTTGTCGTTCCTAATAATCTTTGCAGTAATTTTCATGTCTCTAAATCTTGGGCCCTTAGTGATTTGTGAAGCTAAGTATCATTTCAGAGTGACAGCTCTGCTTCACTTTACAGAACAGGAATCTGAGTCTGGGGAGGGGAAAAGCAGTCACAGGGGCCTCACTACAAGTTTGTGGGAGCTAAGACATCAACTCATGTCCCTCTTTCTAGGCCAGTGACTTTCCAACGTGGCTTCATTGGGAATCTTTTAAAAATACTGATAGTGACTCCCACCCCAACACTTTGATCTAGTTGATTGCGGTGAATCCTGACAATTGTGGTTTCTGAAGGGCTGCCTCAGGTGAATTTAAGTCACATGAGAACCATCATGATTACCATACAACCTTTTTGTGGCATCATAGTGCATTAAAAAGAATTTTTTTTTTTTTACCAAGCTTGAAAGACATCCTTTTAGGCCTCCTTTCTGTCTTAATTCAAACTTGATCTTTCTTAAATTGCCCCTTACTAGAGGCAATCAAAGGAGATGAATTGGACTGCCCTCAGGAGAGTGAAGGAGAGGATGGAAATGGCCAAAGGACAGGTGGAGACAAATGAGGATGGAGAGGGGCCTTAGGAAGGGCCCTGAACCTAACCTTGTTTCAGAAGCAGTCTTGAAACAGAGCAAGGATGGCAAAATGACCGTGGGGTGGGGTCCTGCCTGCTCCACTCAGGCTCTCTTCTGGCCTCAGTGTGGACTTTGTAAGCTGCAGACCTGGCGCTGCCTCTGCCCTGCTGGAGAGCCCTGAAGACACCTAACTCTTGGTAATGTGAGGCAAAGCCCTTCAAGGAGCAGTGACTTACTTAAAGGGACACACTCCCAGCCTCTTCAGCCCAAAGCAGGACTAGATGCCTACCTAGACAGCCCTCGGAGGTCTGCCTCACAGTGGCATTATCTCATGGGCTCAAATCTTTGAAATGAAAAGTGAAGTCAAAAGTTGTAAACCGGGCCCTCCCTGGTGGTGCAGCGAGTTAAAGCACAGCACTAAGAAGCTTAAGCCACTGCTGCGTGAGTTTGATTCCCGCCTTCCCCGGAGGAGCTCCACATGGCGAGGTAGACTTCTCCTGGCCCACCCGCTGCTCCTCTCAGCAGTGTACTTCATTGATCTACCTATTCTGCTCCCCTCCCTGGCTCTGGTGAATCCTCTCACCCTCCGCATCTCTGGCCTGTACCCCAGTTCTATATGAATAAATAAATAAATATTTAAAAAAAAAGTTGTAAACCGTCTGTAAGAATTTCACTATACACTCTCAAGAGATTCTCCTAAAAGACTGTTCCATCATAAAGCAGTCTTGTGCATTTTATATCCCTTAGATGCCAATTTCCCTGTGGGTATTAGAATTAAGTGATTGTCTTGCCATCCCACTATGATTCTATTTGTTTGCATAATTACATTTCTTGCTTGTCAATGAACTGAATTTTTTCATGTGTTGAATCATTTCTATTTAGGTCTGTGCAGGTATGTGTGAAGTGCTATTCTATTTCCTTTGCCATTTTTCTACTAGGATGCTTTTTGTTTTTTCCATTGATATAAAGAAACTCTTATTTTTCAACTGAATTATCTTTAAATTATGCTATTGTTCTCCAAATTGGAAATTAATTTAAATTTTATTTAGGGACTTACAACGTTTTTTAAAAGATGTTTTTATTTGTGCTTACAGACCTGGGGTACAAGCCAAAGGTGTGGTGGGTGAGAGGTTTCACCAGAGACAAAGTGGGGAGCAGAAAGTACACTGCTTAGGGGAGCAGCAGGAGGGTCAGGAAAGTTCAGCCACGCCATGTGGGTCAGCTCCCTGCCTGGGGATCCAACTGGTGCTTCAGAGCTTCATAATGCGGTGCTTTAACCCAATGATCTATCAGGGAAGGGCTTACAACTTTCACTTCTATTTTTCCCCCATGCTGAGAGTAAGATAAATACATACCTATAATTTCTGTGATTAATTTATGATATTGCAAAATTTTACCATATGATTCCTTTTAGAATTTATTTAATTGTGGTGACATAAGAAATTAACTTTGCTTCTTTTTGTTATTTATATTTTAATTTTATTTAAGATATAGATATAGTTATATAAATTTTATATAAATTCATATAATTTATGTGTGATTTATTTATATATTTCAAAATAAATACTTATGTAAAGTTTATATATAATTAAATATTATATTAAGTATTTTACATAATACATTATTTATAGTACTTATATTTCATTACTTAGGTTAAAACTTTGTTTTAATACCATTTGTTGAATAGCTATTCTCCACAAATTTTTTTTTTAAAGATTTATTTATTTGTACATACAGAACTGGGGTACAGGCCAGAGGCTCAGGGGCGGTGAGAGGCTTCACCAGAGACAGAGTGGGGAGCAGAACAGGCAGATCAACGAAGTACACTGCTGAGGGGAGCAGCAGGGGGGTCAGGAGAGGTCTGCCTCACCATGTGGTCTCCTCCAGGGCAGGCGGGTATCGAACTCATGCGGAAGTGGCTTTAGCTTCTCAGTGCTTTAACCGGCTGCGCCACCAGGGAGGGCCATTCTCCACAAATTTTAAAGACCAAGTTTATTTTATAATCAGGATTATATAATAAGCTATATTTATCAAGATATGCTTCTGGGGTTTCTGCTCTTTCCTTTTGTCTTTCTATTCTTATATCAGCAATGTACTACTTCAAATAAGATCCATTTATAATTTATTTTAGAAATTGTACAAAATAAGTACTCTCACCTCATCTCCCTTTTTGAAAATTTCTCTCTCCTGAAAAATTCCCATGTTAAAATTTGTTTATTCAGCTTGCTCATCTTAAAATGATTACAAGAGGCCCTTCCTGGTGGCACAGTGGGTTAAAGTGCAGCACTGCAAGCTAGCCACAGCTGCTTTAGTGACAGTTTGATCCCCAACCCCTGAGGTGATCCACGTGGTGTGGCAGACCTCTCCTGTCTCACCCACTGCTCCCCTCAGCAGTGTACTTCATCAGTTGGCCTGTTCTGCTCCCCTCTCTGTCTGTGGTGAATCCTCTTACCGCCCCTGTACCTCTCGCCTGCACCCCAGCTCTGTATGGATAAGTATATTAAAAAATGATTACAAGAGCACATCAGTAAATTTGTTTGTCCAGATATCCAAAGATCAGCTTTGTTGAACTGATTTGTTCCTATAGCCATCAATTATGGCTTTGTCATCTGGAAGTGAAATTCTTAGCCTTATGGTCTAAGAACTTCAACTAATCAAGCGAGTGCCATTAATATTCCTTTTGTAGTTTCTTTGTCTTTATCAGTATTACATTATCTTCCTGAAACTCTGTCATGTCCCCATTTCTGTTTTCTGATTTACACATACTCTGGAAAGCAGCTAAATCCATAGGAGTTTCCCAAGTGTCCTCTGTAATCAAACAGTACATTATCATATTGCTCTTGATACTTATGCACATTTAACTGTGCTAAATTAATTTTAAAAAGAGACCATTAGAATGAAGTGACTCTAACACTTAAATAAGTGGCTTAAATAAGCAAACCAAATTCTAATCCTTTAAATGCCTCAGGTCATGAAATCAAAGCTCAAAGAACAATCAATCATAGTCAATGACATTTTAAGTTATAGCTGTCACAGTATATTTGATAAAGTTAAAATTTAGTCTCTGCAGTTTGTTCAGTAGAATACTGCTGAGGAACATAAAGTAGCTAGAAAGGGATCACATAACATGGCCATGGGAATCAGACCATGGTGTACGTGACCTAAGGCTATCAGAGGTCCAAGGAATGTGGAAACAGGGTAAACAGAAACCAGACTATGCCTGGGTGAAATGGGCTGAAAACCTGATGCTCCAACGGATAACAAGCAGTAAGTACTGGTGCCTCAAGTCAGGAAAAACCTGTGGAAATAGAATCTAAAAAATCCCCAAATGCTACTTGGACGCAGACTTCTCCCGTCGCACCAGCCACTTCTCTTAGCAGTGGATTTCAATAAATCCACCTGTTCTATTCTGTTCTCCTCTCTGTCTCTGGTGAATTCTTTCACCCCTGCACCTCTGGCCTCACCCTGATCTCCCCATAACATTAGCCAATCAAGAATGTCTTTGCTTTTGTTTTTTCACTTTTAGAGTCTTTCTCTGAGCTTCCTTCTGGTGGAGTGCTCCTAACCACCTATTACTTGGTGTTACCCCTTTTTTGTTCAAATAAACACTGAAAAATGTTAATATACTTTGATTTATGTGTTAACAGTTTTCTCCAGTTTATTTTAGTAACTTGTGTAGATTAAAAAAAATTTTTTAAGCTATTTATTTATTTATGCATACAGAACTGGGGGACAGGCCAGAGGTGCAGGGGTGGTAAGAGAAATCACCAGAGACAGAGTGGGGAGCAGAACAGGCAGATTGATGAAGTACACTGCTGAGGGGAGCAGCGGGCGGGTCAGGAGAAGTCTGCCACTCCATGTGGGTCACCTCATGCGGCAGTGGTTGTGATAGCTCCATAGTGCTATGCCTTAACCCATTGTGCCACCAGGGAGGGCCCATTAACTTGTATAGATTTTACTCCTTTGTTATATTACTGATGATAGAAGCTCCATTTTTAAACTACTTGCCCAGTGGCCAGCAGAAACCATCAATGAATTTATTAGTTCTCCTTCCCTACCCTCTTTATGTTATAGAATGCTCTCCTGGGAAGCCTCTTGGTTTTGAGCACCTTTGTGACATTATGCAATGCCCAGTGCTTTTTCACTAAACGAGATTCTACTTGGCCTGAGGGTAAGTACTGGCTTATCAGTGTTTGTTGTGTTATTACAACCTTATAGGTATAACCTGTTTCCAGATGCAAGTCTCTATCTACAGCAGAAGGAGGGTTGAGGCAGATATGAAATGAAATGAGGAACTCTGTTTGCCATTTATGGAAGAGGTTCTCAGCCCTGGCTAGGAAGCTATACTCAGGACCCATCTAACACCAAATAAATCAGAAAAGTACAAGTTGCACTTAAAAAAACAAAAAAAACCTCTTCATTGATTTCTGTTGCTGTCAGGGTCCAGGACAATTGTTTATTCCAAAGCATTATTTCTCAAAATTTAAGCGTTTGCAGACTCTGGAAATCTTACTAAAATATAAGCTGATTCTGTGGGCCTGGAACAAGAATAAGAGTCTTTGTGACCTCAGGTGGTCACACTTGGACTAGCATGGATCTAAAGCAGTGGTTCTCAACCTTGGATGAACATTGGAATCATTTGGAGAACTTTCTAAAAATATAGCAGCCTGAGTCCCATGCCCAGAGATTCTAATTTCATTGTACTACAAGGGGCTAAAGTCAATAATTTTTTTTTAAGAACCCAAAACGTGTCACATGGTATTCAGGGTTGAGAACCACTTGTCCTAAGCAAAGGGGAGTGAAGAAGTGAGGTGTTTATACAGCTACTCCAGCATAAAAGAACTTGACTTCAAATACCCTTAGGCTACTGATTAAAGAGGAGGACTTTACTTTTTTGACAAAACCATCTGTACTGAGATGAAATCTGGAAAGATTTAAGCTTGCTTCAAAGAAACATGATGAATGGTATGATCTGGACATTTAGCTACTAGTGCTAGAATTTAGCTACAAGTGAACACAGCACTTTTTTTATTTTTAAGATTTATTTATTTATGCATACAGATCTGGGGTACAGGCCAGAGTGTAGGGGTGGTGAGAGGATTCACCAGAGACAATGGGGAGCAGAATGGCCAGATTGACAAAGTATACTGCTGAGGGGAGCAGTGGGCAAGACAGGAGAGGTCTGCTGTGCCATGTGAGTCACCTCCCTGGGTATGATCAAACTCATGCTGAAGCAGCTGCGGCCAGCTTTGTAGTGCAAACACAGCACTTTTAAAGCCATCTTTAAAAATGATGAGATTTTCCCTTTGTGGGATGGGTGCAGACGGCAAGGGCTGGCCCTGGGGTCTTATGAGCCTTGCTCTGGTGCACAACTTGGGGACTCCAGTGACAATGTCACATGTATTATTTTAGGATGCAAGGATTCTAAAGGAATCTCACACCCGCTGCAATCAACATGGACAAATGACTGTAACAAGTGTACTTGTAGCAGTGGTGGAATAGCCTGCTGTAGAATGTAAGTCTCAAATCAGAACAGTCAGGAGGGGCCTACAGTTATCCGGTTGCTCTCTGAGGAATAGCTTCCTCTTTCAAAATGCCATCCAGAAGGGGGTACAGTTTCCAGTTCTATTTCTCTATTCTTTTATTGTGGTAAAATGTAACAAAATTTATTATTTCAACCAGCTTTACGTATAGAATTCAAGAAGATATTAGAATATTCCCCCCTCCTTTTTTTTTTGCACCACCATCATCACTATCTTCCTCCAAAGATTTTAGTCCTCCCAAATTAGAACTCTGCTTATTAAACAACCACCTTCCACTCTGCCCCAGTCCCTGCCCCAGCCCCTGGAAACCACCATTCCACTGTGTCTACAAATCTGACTATTCTTGGCACCTCAATAAGTAGAATTGCCCTTTAATGACTAGTTTATTTCTTAAAAAAAAAGATTTATTTTAGTTATTTATGCATACAAGAGCTAGAGTGTTGGCCAGAGGTGTGTGTGGGTGGGGGGTGTGCGGGGCGCGGAGGTTAAGAGGCTTCACCAAATACAGGGTGGGGAACAGAACAGGCAGATCTACAGAAATACATTGCTAATTGGAGCAGCACAGGAGACAGGAGAGGTCTGCTACGCCATGAGAGTCAGCTCCCTGACTGGAGATCAAATTTGTGCTGCAGTGGTGAGATGTAACCCCTTGTACCACCAGGGAGGCCCAATGACTGGTTTATTCAATATATTATGTATTTGTATCAGTCTAAAGTCCTCAAGGATCATCTATGTAGCACCATGACTCAAAAATCTCTTCCTTTTAAAGACTGAATAATGTTCCAATGTGTGTGTGACATTTTATTTATCTATTCATTATCCATATTAATCCAACATTTATCCAAACGTTGAGGCCATTTGGGTTGTTTCACATCAGTCTTATTTCTTTTAACTGTTTTGAAACTTGATAAATATCCCTATTATTTATAAACTCTATCTAGATGGGTGGCTGAAAACAAGAAAGAGTATCCAATGGTCTGAAGCTATTCTAAAAGTTACTCAGTCTTCATTTCAGCCTTGGTCTGTGACAATTTGAAAAACAGGAGTGAGTGAACACAGGCAGATGGAAAATGTGTGTTGTAAAGGATGAAACTGTACTCTAAACACTATGTTGCTTCACTGTTTAATTTTAATTCAAGTGAGCACAAAGGTCATGCAGATGTTTTCTTTGGGGTTGTTGTGGACACCAAACAATACAACAGAGTACCTTTAGTGTACCTTCTCAGCAGCTCATCTGTATTAGTTACTCCTCTTCTCAAAACCATCTGAAATGTGGACATTAACCTGGTCTATATAGTGTTTTGGAAGAATAGGAGTGGCTCTAATGACAGAAACCTGGATAAAGTATTATTCCCCAATCTGTCCTGATCACAGACTATCAGCTACCTAAAATCATCTCCAGATTCCTGGAGCCCTGCAACCTACTGAATCAAAAACAGGGGATTATGGGCTGTTCTATTTGTTTATAGCCTATGGTCTATGTATTTGGATCCATGCTCCTGAGGGTTGTTTCTTGAGGTTGCCAGTCGAGGTGTGACTTTAAGCTGTTGAGGGGTATCCCAGATAGCTGGAATGTGAGCTACTTTGGGGCACAGAGATAGGCTTGGGGAGGCTGAGCAAACCATTCTTCTAACAGGCTCTGCTCTTGTCTCAATAACAGTGCTGGTATACCTGTGGGTTATGACAAAAAGAAATGTAAGAAAATCTTCTACCAGGATGAATGCACCTTTCGCGTGGTAGAGCGGGACAACCCATATAAGACCTGTGAAGTCAAAGCATGGATATTGTAATATTCTTCTAGTTGGCTCAGGGAGCTCTTCCTGAGAGGGCCCACAACCTCCAGAACAGGCCTTTCTCTTTTGACCTCTAATTGTCTATAATTGTGTAACCCTAACTTTCATTAAAAAAAAATGAGCAAGCACTAAAATATGTGTAGAATTTTCATTTTTAAATTGTATATGCATGGATACAATGCACACTATAAAACATACAAACACTAGACGGAAGAGACAAAAATAAATGTGAATAAATGTTGTGATACTTGCCTTACATGCCCAGAGACCATCGTACATTCCCTATGCAGGGACTCACTACTGCTTTCATCACTTCTTACATCTGTACTTTCCTGTCTCTTTGTCCAGCTATCTGGTAAACAATTCAAAACTGACACAAGCTATGCAACTTCTGTTGACCAACAAATTCCAGATAGAATGGAAAAGGTCTGAAAAATCAGAATTTCAACTGCTAACTTATGTTACAACCTCCCTTTTTTATGTATAGTCATAATATCAAAATATTCTGAGCAACCATTATTTTACAACTGGATTGTTTTAGCCTCATAAGGTGGCTGCCTGGTCCAGGCAAACTGCCTCATGGGGGAAATTCCTTTGTCTCTTGAAACAAAAGGCAAGCCCCAGGAGATATAAGACTCCCGGGGCATAAAAACTCCTGGAAAGCTTGTTTTTTTTTTGTTGTTGTTGTTGTTGTGTTTTTTTTTTTAATAATACAATAGTTTATTTTTACATTACTTTGTGCATTTTTCCATCTCAGTTGAAATCCCCTTGGGCTTCCCATCACCAAATCACCCATGTGCCATCACCATAGTCCAGTGCTTCCTTGTTTTTTTTTTTTTTTTTTTTTTTTATTATTAAACAAAAAGAAAATCTCAGATAAGACCTCTAGGGCATAAGGACTCATGGACAATTTTTTAACCTCATTTACACAGGTGTTGCTTAATGCATGACTGTACAACTTTTTCTTAATTTACTCCTTTTTAAACAATCCCTAACTACTCTCTGCCAGCCTTAAATAGCCATTAGCTTTTCTTTAGACAATCACCAATGACTCTACTAACACAATTTATTCCTTTCCTAAGACCCCGAATGGTCTTTTGCTAACAGCTCATCCTTTCCCAGACCCCTCTTCCCTTGAGTTATAGTTAAACATCTGTATACATGATAGTGATTACAAATATGTATAATTTAGTATACCATAAAGTGTCAGGAAGAAGATGCATTGTTCCACTCTTCCTTGAGAATATTTATGACAATTCATGGCGATTTCTCATTAACTTACTCTATACATTATTGTAATTAACTACTTGCTACACGGTATAAATAAAGACCTGCAGAAAAAAAGAGCAGGAAGACTTGCACCCAACTCTGACTCTTGTGTCTTCCTCATGCCTGCTCCCCTTTCCCCTTCTTGGAATCTCCGTTCACCCAGATACCTTTCTACCTTAGGGCCCTGCCTGTCTCGCCACCCCTGTTTCACCCCCCAACAGCTCTCGATAGTTGGGGCCAGTCCCCGACACAAAACGTAAAAATATTTTTGAGATGAAATAATCTCTTATTTTGTTTGAGATTCTATGCTATTCATCCTTCCTAGGAAGTGCCCCCTATGCTGTATCATTCACATACTCTGTGCTTGCCTGAGGTTAGAGCAAGTCGACCTGGAAGAATTGGCTCCAAAATTGATGGGGGTATTATTAAAAATCCATGGGCTCTGCCTTCTGGGGGAGGAATGGCTTGGGTTCAGAGCTTCAGAACTAGTTGTCTTCTGTCGCATGTCAACTACCCCAAACCTACAGCCTAAAAAGTGTGACTATGCTGATAATGGTTTGCTGTTTCTGTGTTACAAAATGTCTGTTCATTTAGTGAAATAGTTCCTTACGGAGTAATTGGTTGGGCCGTGTTCTGGTCCTGGGGCTATCGCAGTGAAGCTGAGATGAATTTTCTGCTCTCCTGCTTTTTACAGTGTATGTGTGTGTACATGACAGACCATAAATAAGCAAATTGTGCACTGCTGGACAGACAGTGGGCAATAAATAAAGAACTATTTCTTCCCTACACCCTATCTGTTCAAACATGTTAAGTGGGCTAGTTGAGCAATCTAGCCAGGTCCTTTCATTTTTTGGGTCATTTTCAGTAAAAAAAAAGTCTCAATTTAGAGTCTGCATCTGAATTGAAGAGAGGATAGAACTACAATGAAATATTACCTCACCTTTTTATGAATGACCTATATAAAAATGCTGGAAATAACAAATATTGTCAAGGATGCAGAGAAAAAGGAAAACTTCTATTCACACTTAGTAGGGATGTCACCTGGTGCCATTTCTATGTAAAAGGACAAGGAGATTCAGAAAATTCAAATAATATTATCCAGCAGTACGACTAGGAATTTACCAAAGAATATGAAAACAATGACATGAAAAGATTTATGTACTTTTGTGCATAGCAGCATTGTTCACAATAGCCAAGATATAGAACCAACCTAAATGCCAACAGACAACTGGATAAGGAAATTGAAGAATAGATATTCAATGGAATATTATTCAGTTATTTAAAAAGATGAAATAGTGCCTTTTGGGACAAAATGGCTGGATCTTGTGGTGATCATGCTAAGAGAAGTCAGAAACTAAAAGACAATTTGCATAATATAAATAACCAAAAGAAAAAAACTGGCAAAACCCAGCAAAAATAGTTTTTAGACTGAAAAATATAGTGGTAACCAGAGGGCATAGGTTGGGAGGTTTGGGGAGATGGGGGAGATAATGTGCTATGGTATTAGCACTAGAGCTGCGGTGGAGGGTTAGTTCACATGTGCACCTGTTGAAGCAGTTGTATTTCCTAAATTATACACTTCTGTAAACAAATGGAAAATCAATACAACTAAAAAAAAAAAAAAAAGAGTACGGGGTAAAGGAAAGTTAAGGTTATTGGCTCTGCCTCCGGTGGCAGTGTTTACAGAGATTTATTTCCTTGGGTGACTCTCCAACTTCCACACTCCTCTTTCCCCAAAGCTCCCTTTCCATCACAGGTTCTGACTGCCCTGTTAGCCTCTGTACCTATGTTTTCTGTTTCTTTCTGCTGAGATCAATTTGCCCTTGTAGGAGTTACTCTTGGGTGGGATACGTAAAATCCTATCAAGATCATCTCCTTTGCAAATCTTAGCTGGTACTTCACTTTGCTCAGAAACAGGGGGATCAGTTTTAACATTGAATATTGCGAACTTTTGCCAGAAAGATTCCTATTTTCACATGTGGTTGCAAAGAAAAAGATTCCAAGGTGGATAACATCACACTGAGGAAATTGTAAGGAAACCCATCCCAGCCTTGGGATACGGAGTGTTGACAAGTGTCTTGTCATACGATACAAACAAGCATATATTTTGGAGTCAGATGAATGTGATTTCGAATCTGGGATCCAATGTTCATTTATATACTGAATAAAAAAAAGGCAAAATATACATAACATAAAAGTTCTCACTTTTTTAGGTGTACATTGGAGTTATAAGTACATTCAAATTGTTGTACAACCATCACCACCGCCATCCATATCCATAGCTTTCCACCACTCCAAAATGAAACTCTTTACCCTTAAACAATAATCCCCTTTCCCAAACCTAAGGCAATCACCATTCTATTTTCTTTCTATATAAATTGACAACTACCCTATAGTGTCTTCTGACATTTATTTTTCATCTGTAGGTTAAGATTAGATACCTGTGAGAACATGGGAGAGGAACACTTAGGATAGTCCTCAGCACAGGGTTTGCCTCCAACAACTGTTTGCCTTACTCTCCGTGATTTACTCGGGAAGGACGAAAGGACACTGACCCAGAGCCCTGTAAAGACTTTGCGCCTGCGCCATGCGCCCTCTAGAGGCCGGACAAGGACCTCGGGCTGGCCCGAGCGGACATCTCGCGAGACTGTCAGACGTGTTGCGTGAGGAGTGGGAGGAAGGTTGTGCTCTCGCGAGTACTCCGCCTTTCGGCCGTTGGCTTGTGTCCGGCCGTTTATCTGTCCACTGAACGTCCCCTCGGACCTCTCGGAGCGGCACTCGGAGCGGGTAAGAACCGGAATGGGGGTGGATGGGCGCTCCTTCTCCACCGTTCCCACGCCTAGCGGGTCTGGGATCCAGGGCCGTTTGCCTGGTGCTTTCTGACCGGCCTGTCGACATACCTGGCCGGGGCTACCTTCGTCTGCCTGCCCCCTGGCTGCGGCCTGTCCTCCTCCTCGTTCCTTCGACACTCCCGGCCCGGCGGCTGCCTCTGTCTGCCCTCCTGCCCCGGCCTGTCCTTTTCCTTGGGTCCTTTGACATACTCTCCCTAGGGCCACCCCTTCCTTCCAGTCCGGCTTCCCCGGCGCCCACGTGACAGCTCCCAGTTTCTGCTCACTCTTGCCAGGGTTTCTTAGGGCGAGGAGGGGCGGTTTCCCAAAGAAGGCCCAGGATGTATCTGTTCTAGCCTGCTGGGTGGAAACGCAAAGATGCTTTTTTTCTGCGCCCTGTGTGCAAAACACCGTATTCCTTACTGTCTTATGTAATGTAATTCTTCCAGCAGTGCCGAAAGAGCTAGCTTGATTATGTCCTTTTTGCAGAGGAAAAGAGGGAGGCTTGTTCACTCATTGGTTAGTTACACAGTTTCTTACTCGGCGCCTTTATGTTGAGTGCATTGAGGATATAGCAATGAAAAAAAGATGGGCAAAGTTCTTTCATGAAACTGAATTCTTGTGGTAGGACAGCAGAAAACACATACATAGTCTTAGTAGTCTGTGCTGTAACATGGATGATGCCATCAAGAATGGCAGAAGTCAGTGCTATAGTCTGCCCCACCCCAAAACAAAGCTTTATTTACCATGCTGTTTCGTGTTGTTTACTAATCAGGTTAAGTAAGCTCACCATACATAAGTGTCTTTTGCACAGCTTTAGTTTTCCACCACTTGGTAGTTTGAAAACATGATTATGGAGATTCTTGGGTTACTTCCTTGGGTTATGATAGAGTAGATAATAACAGCTGACACATTTCTGTGGGTCCTAGTGTATAATCACTGAACTTAAATCTTTAGGCCCCTTTAAAATGGTTTCTCTATGTTAGATTGTGGTCAAGTACTATTGAAAAAAATAAAGTATGTTAAGAGGGAGTGTGTGAGGGAGTCATTTTAATAGGATACTGATGAATGATGGCCTCTGAAAAGGTGAACTTTGATCAGAGGCTGTGGAAGTGAGGCCTGGGCTTGAGGAGGCCTGGAGAAAAAAATACAAGGGCCCTGAGGCAGAGGCATTCTCACTTTGCTAAAGGAGTAGCCAGGAGGCCTTTGTGACTGAATGAAGAAGTAAAAAGGAGAAGATGAAGGGAGAAGTGAAAAGTGAAAATGGGCAACAATCAAGGTTTTTCAGGAATGGAAAGAGATGATGTTGACTTACTAAATTGATGAAAAATATCTTTTATTATATCATTCTCTAGCAAGTAATAACTATAGCTAATATTTTTATATATTCTCATTATGTATCAGTCATTATTATAAGTGTGTTAATCTTTGATTCTCTCCAAAAATTTCTATTCAATCTCATAGAATGAAGACTGTGTAGGATATGCAGTGGGGTATGCTACTGGTTTAGGGAACTTTTTGAGGCATTGTTGAAATCAGTGACTTCAGTATCTATTCAGTGAGGTTACAAGTCTAAAGTCTCTCTAATAAGGGACCAACCAAAATTGTATGTATTAGATTAAGTTCTAAGCAGAACCAGGGACAATGACCTGGACCAAATGGCTAAGGGAAACAGAAGAATCATTCATGTCCTAAGTAAAAACAGTACCGTTAAAATTACTATTTTGTTGACTTACCAGTAAAATCTGTCTAATTTAACGAGTACAAATAGCATCCCACAATTTGAGGTATTAAGACTAGAGGGAAACTTGCTAAATTGTGACTGTAATATTAAGATTAAACAAAAGAGACACAGTGAGGAACTGTTGCAGTCCATGACATTTTTATTACTGCTCCTGTTACTTTTTAGTCTCTTTAAAAAGTGCTCACATTGTTCATTTGGTTTTATTTACATTAAAGGTTTTCTAAATTTGTTATCTTAACGCAGAACACAGGAAAGATATGGCTAGCCTAGGCTGATATTGGGGTCAGGTTCTCCACTTTACTTTGGCCGGTTGCTTTCATAGAGTTCCTCCACAAGCAGAGGAACTATCATACATTCCTTCTCATTGTGTCTTTTTTGTTTAATCTTAATATTATAGTCACAATTTAGAAAGTTTCCCTCTAGTCTTAATACCCTAAATTGTGGGATGCCATTTGTACTTGTTAAATTAGACAGATTTTACTGGCAAGTCAACAAAATAGTAATTTTGACGGTACTGTTTTTACTTAGGACATGAGTGATTCATCTGTTTCCTTTAGCCATTTGGTCCAGGTCATCATACCTGGTTTTGCTTGACTTGATGATACAGTGGAATTAAGATGTTCCTCTTGGGGGCTAGGAGTATGTTTGAAGGCACTTTAGAGGGCACTCTTATTCAGCATTGCCTACAGATGTGACAGTTGAGTTCACTTCAGTAAAAGATTAAAAAAACGGACACAATAAGTGAATAGATTTTTTTCTTGTCAGTTTTGGCATAGGTAGGAAGTTCAGTCTTTAATACTTGGACATTTACACATTTCAGAAGGACATAATCTCAGGTAAAATAGTTTGAGTTTTATTTGTCATCATTGCTACTCCAGGCTTTAGAGTAGGGAAAATATCACTTGTTTACTTCTGTGGGAAAAACCACAAGATATGCCTTACAGCATCAGGGCAAGATGGTATTATTATTGTGGTGATAACACTTTTCTTTGTCCTTGACCATAGGTAGTATGGCAAGAAATATCAAGGGATCCACCCTAGTTCTGAATGTTTACCATTTTTGTTATGTCAGCTGGAATTTCTGTAGTACTGTAAAATGTGAGGGGGGAAAAATCCAGTTAGTTGTAAATAGAGTTAATGTTTCCCCTTTAACTCACAAATCTGCTGGTGTTTGTGTGTCTGTTTAGCTAGAAAGACACACCACCTTAGTGCTCATCCTGGAATAATGGCTTCAGTAGTAGTACTCTTGTCATTTTGTCTTGTTTGAAAGAAAACTAAAAGCTCTAAAGACCCGTCTTGAATTAATGTAGACCATCAAGTTGATCATGTTTAAAGCAGAACCATATCCTTCCTGTGACTTGTCTGAATTTGAGCACTTATTTGTCACTTATTCATCCATCTAACAAACTCTGTGGAGTTTATGACTGTAATAGTAATGGCTCCAGGGACACCATCCTTTTTTTTTTTTTTTGTCAATTCAAGTGAAATACATAGAATGAGAAAATATCATTGCCAAATTTAGGGCAGGGAATAGAGAATATTTGTTATGCTGGTGATGGATGACCAACAACATATTTCACTGCATTACATTGTGACTGTGATTTCTTGACATTAGTTATACAGTATTTTAATAGACTGAGAATTACTTCTTTCTAGCCATTGACTTCAAGTACAAAGGGGCATCAAATTATAACTTTCGTTCTTTAGAGGTATATCTAGGTACTGTTATTCAATGATGGTATTTTGAGCCAAGAAGAACTTGTTTTCTTACTATTTTTGGTAGTGAATGTCTGAAATGAGACCCGTAGAAACAATAACAGATGAAGCAAACACTTGTACAAAACTGTTCAAATGAGATCTGAGGGATGCCTAATTGAGGGTGAGGCCTTTGTGGTTTTGTTTTACTTATACTATTTACAGAGAAAAAAGCTTCATATGCACAAGCCAGAACAGTTGTTTTACATTTACAAAAATGATTAAAGGGAAATGATGTTGCTGTCTCGATTTTGTTTTTTGATCTGATTGGAAATGCAGGCTGTAACGACGAAGTTTGGAGAAAAGGGTGCCAAACTAGAGGTACCATGAACATGGTAATCATCAGACAAGTATTAGATACTGTGTGTCAGTCATTGCCCTAAATACTTTACATACATTTTGTATAATTCTTATTGAGTTGGAGCCATTTTTACCATTCCCATTTTATAGATGGGGAAACTATAGCACAAGTTGGCTAGGTGACTAGCCTAACATTACACAGCATCTAAATGGTACAACCAGATTTTGTACTCTAACTCCAGAGTCCATCCTCTTAACTACTGTGAATTACTGCTCATATTCATTGTGAAGCCACCTACATACCAATTGGTGCTTATTCGACTTTTGTGGAATGAAAGTGTCCATGAGTATTAAAGGCAACACTGACTGAGACGTGTGTGTGTGTGTGTATGTCAGAGAGAGACAGACAGAGAGACAGAGACAGACTCACACACAGACACAGTCACACACATACACGTGGGATAACAGGTTTGGAGGAGACATAAGGCGATGTCTGAGAGCCTGAAACGGAAATCCAGGAATATACCAGGTGGGCTACTAGTGTAATTGCAGGGAGCGGGGATGGTAATAACTCAGTACCTCCTAATTGTACCCAAGTTTGTTAGTTCTCTGTAGTGATTAGCAGCAAAATCCTTAAGTCACAGATGTCTAGACCATTTGGGGCACAGAGAGGTGGACACCTACCAATCGCTGAAGCAGGTGGGCGGAGGAGAGGTTGGAGAGAAGCCCCTGGCTTGCCCATCTGAACTGTTTGAGCAGGTTTAGCCTGGGCTATGTGGGGACTTGCGGCACTGGGGCTTCCAGGAGTACCTTTGGGGGCGGTGTAGTGGGAGGAGCCTCCCGCCCCGCCCCCAGCGCTGACACGCGGTTTGGGCAGGGCGAGGTTTGGCCTGCGGGCTCTAGAACTTTCAGCTTCAGCTTCTGGGTGAAGCAACCTCTTGCTTGCGGAGCAGCGCACAAGGCGGAAAGCTGGCCTCCGAGGTCTGTTCGATAGCCAGAGGACCTAGCGGGAACCGCGGGGCTGTTTTCGTTCTGCTGGGTTGGGGTAGGGGCCCTCCCGGCGCATAGTCGCGCATGCGTGCTGAGCGGTGACTGACCTGCTTGGAAACGGGTGTGGCTCCCGCAGCTGTGACTTCCAAGAAAGAACCGATCGAGGGCTT